AAATGTCTAAATTAAAAATATAAAGTACAGAAGAAAAAATTCGGCTTATCACTGTTAATAAAAAAATTCCAGTATTCTATAGTTATCCCGTATTTACTATATACTATAATAATAAAAATCAGAAGTTGTATCCATAGTAGTAAAATTACTCTAAAAAAGCACGCATGTTATACATATTAATTGGAGCATCTAGCTAATTATGCTAGATATTAACTTTATTGAATAAATTTTATTGACAATATGCAGTGTACATTAGTGCAATTGATGTATGAACTAAGATGGGATATACTCCCAGAAATAGCAACTATAATTGCACCGGGTATCACCGTCATTAGCTGAATTCGTGATGTGGGGCATCAGCCGGTGGTCTCCCACACTGCGCGAAGCAGGCCAGATTTAATAAGAATTTTAATATGAAATTTTAAGTTGCTACAAAATAGCAGGATTTTATATGGTGGGTGGGTTCGGGTATGAATTTTGGCACATATAGATGGATGGTGCCAATAGTAAATTGTGCATTTTCTTCTTATATTCAGTCCTGCAACTATATTAGCGATTCCATGAATGACTTAATAAGGCAATTGATTAAACCTTAAATTTATGCTTATCTGACTTCATGTGCTCATTCACATACTATCCACTTATCTTCTTCCTGATTAGGCTTAATGGCTGTGTACTTGGATCTAGCTTGCGTATCCCTGCTTAGCAACCTTTTCAATCTGTTGACTATTATCAACTTGAATTTTTCCCAAAATAACTGCTATCTTGAGGTTTAAAAAATTCAAGTTGACGATGCCTCAGAACCAAGCCAGTTAGGTCCTGATAGGCAGCCATTAATATTGGCTAGGCAGACAAATGTCTTAATTGGGCAGAAGTATACTTCTGTACTTTTCGAAAAAAAAAAAAAATTATTTATTAACAAGTACCCAAATCTGTTTATTGTGTGAATTTCACACATTATCAAGGTTCAAATGACTAACTATTTTACTTTTTTATTTTTTCTTAAATATTTTTTCTGGGCTTATTTGAAATTAATAACTTGTTAGAGAGAAAGTAGATTTCACATGGATCTGTGACTGCGCCCATGCCCTATTAGGAAATTGAAGTGAATTACTGTACAAGTTGAACAGAATTCTGTGTCACTTGGAGCGAAGTGGTGATACAAAGGAAAATACAATGGATAGGTAGGTAAAATGTAGCAGAACCTGTACAAGTTGAAGTAAATTATACGCAGAATGAAGCGGAATTGCTTCAACTATTTTATGTATGAATATGATTTTGATTTGAGTCTAATTAATATATAGGATGAAATCAATTTTATTTGCATTGTGTAATTTAAACTTGCATAATAGTAACAAATATTTTAATGATAAAACTAAACACTATAAAATTGTTATTTATTCAAATTTAAAAAAAAAATAAAATCATAAAATAAATCTTTTTAGAATAATCTTTCAATACTTTTATAATTAATACATTTAATTATCAAGTATCGATTCAACCTTTGCACCAAATTTGTCTTTATCAAATTCTTCTAATTCATCATTATTTAGTTCCTTGTCTAAATCATTATTATTATCATCAATATTTTTATCATCATTATTTGACTCAAAATTATTTAGCATTATCAAACCTTCTATTTCCAAATTTTGATGTTCAACTTCAGAATCATCAAAATTATCAGATTCGTCCAAATCATCTATGCTCTCTTCCTCAATATCTTCAGAAAACAAAGCGACATCTTGAAAAACAGTTTGTATTTCCTCTTCTGTTAATTCTAATCTGTAATAGTGTAATTCTTGGTTTGTATTTAACATTAAATAAGAGCTTATTTTTAGCATGGCTTCTAAATTTCGTGTTTCTAACCTGTTACATCGATCTCCTAAAATCCATCCACAATGTGACCATATATGCTCACAACTTGCTGCATAAAGACGTACTGAAAATAGTTTAACTACTAAAGAAGAAAGAACACCTAATTTATCTTTAATACCGTCACCAGTAGTTTTCCACCATCGAGTTGGACTATCAACAGTTGATATATAAGATCTATTATAAGGTTCTTCATTGCAAGCATATTTACGCAATTGTGCTTTTAGTATCTCTAAATCACCTTTTTTTTTGATCCAATCATTTTAATCCATAAACGGCCTGCAATTCCAGCTACTCGAACAAATTGCAATTGTTTGATTCCAGCACCTATAATTTTTAAATAAATATACTGTATATTTAAAAAAAAATTATAATAAATATATATTTATTAAATTAAAAACAAACCTTGATATTTAGGATGTAAATAATATGCTAATAGAAACTCATCATAGTCAAATATATGAAATCTTTCATTAAAAATTGAGATGCATGTACGATAAAACATTAAATGATGATCTTGAAAAATATTTTTAATAGCAACAGCTAATTTAATATATCCTAAATAACATTCTGCCAAATTAACTGTTTTACTTTCAAGACATCTAATAGTATCATTGATTGGTTTTAATACATTAGAAAGATCTAAAACATTATCAAAAAATCCACAGGATTTTAGATACGTTTTGACAATTTTTCCAGTTTTATTGTTGAATAAATGCACGTTTTGATCTAAAATCTTTAAATCTATTAATTAGAATTATTAAAATATTAAAAATATAAAATATAGTATATTTAAAA